ATAATATTGACAGCGATATATTAATGATGTTCAAGAGGTGACAGACTAAATATCTTCCAGAGTTAATTACCGAATGAAAGTTTAGAATCAACAATATCCGTAACATGAAAGTCGTATGAATTGAGGAAAAGGTCATGAGAAAATTGGTCAAATTTTCTCTTCTTATAAAATTCATTTTTTTATCATTAGATATGAATTTATAGCCTATGTTGCAAGTTACAACTTAATTTTGATGTATAATGTAATTAAAACATACATTCCATAATTATGTCTCAAATTTATGGTGCTCAATATAAATAAATAATTTCATTGACTTTACTTTGTGTAATTCATAACCCGATTTGTTTGTTTTCTATTATGCATCGTTGGCTCTCTATTTATTTATGCGTACTATAAATATTTAAAATAATAAAAGAACAAATATTTTCTCTGTAATACATATAGGTATATTTATTTTTTAACTGAGGAAAGATAGAGCAATGCACTGAAATCGATTCGCAGAGTCATCTGAAGTACTTAATCTTAAAAAAATAGAATCTAATATTATTATCTATTATCTTATCAGGTAAACAAAGGACTTACAATGATCCAGTTCAGAATCGATTATTTTTTTAGGTTTATAACGTGTTCAATCGACATAAAACTAGTAAAATATGGTTGAATAGATCATCTCTGACTCAATATTCCAAAACCATAAATTTAAAAAAATATTTTCCCAAAAATAGCAAATTTTGCAACAAAGTTGATACTTCAGTCAATTGAGCGTTTTTGTTCTGTATTTTTACTGTGCTCCAATTTTCATGAAATTTTGGAATTAGGTTAATCTTACCCCAAGGTCAATTAATCATCCCGGAGGGATGACACCCCTTCTTAGTGGTGTAATTTTATTTTTTCTAAAAAACTTCGGATAGCGATGGAACAACTAATGATAAGAAAAAATGTTTAATGAAGTTTTTTTTAAAAACAAATACTGGCAAGTTAATGGCATTAAAATGTATTCTTTAACTAGGACCAATAACTTCTTTAACTAACCAATAACTAACTTTTAATGAAAACAACAACAAATAAAAGTCTGAAAAAAAAATTTATATTGTTTGTGAAGTGTGAAGTATATTGTATGTGTGTGTGTAAAGGTATAAATACATAAAGTATATTTATATACATATCTTTAAGTATATATTTTAAAAACAAGTAATAAACAGGTCAACAGGAAAATAAAATTTTACAATCTTTGAAAACTAAAAGGAGCAAAATATGCCTACTCCAAGTCTTGATTAAAATGGCTTTATCGAATCAATGGACTAAACCATAGGTTCCCAAACTTGTTTGTGTCGCGGACCCCTTACGCTGCCATGGACCCCCTACTTAACCGATATCGATTTTTTTAAATTTCTATTTGTAATAAAATAGATAATAAGGTGTGTTGTGATCCACAATGGACCTCTTGAAAGTTGTCATGGACCACTGAGGGTCCAGATGGACCACTTTGGAAATCCCTGGACTAAACTAAATAGTCACCAGTGCCTTGCTCAAATTCTAAGAACATAAATCTCTGATAAATCAATTATCAATTATCATTTTCCATCGCTAAATGAATTTTCAACTCTGTCTCGGATCAAATAACACAATTCAAATTAGTATTCCTTATATCATGACACATATTCCATGAGTCATTTGGATTGATAAGATCGTAACTAAATCGGAATGGCAATTATTATGAGACTCAGCTGCATCTGCATCTCAATAATAAATTCAATAATATGTCAGAAGATAGAAAACATATTATTCATAAGAAACCATAAATAACATTATGCTTATTTTTATGTGAGATTCATACGCAAGTAGGTAAGTATGACGTATGCAAATTTATGAATGGAAAAATAAGAAGATGGTAATATAATTTGATAAAAATATTATTAATGACCGGTTAAAAGACAATTATAATAAACTAATGGGATATTTAAAAGTATCACTGAAAGTCGTTCTACAATATTTTATTAATAAAACATGGTTATTCAAAGTCGGTGGCATGATGTTTCTATATTCATATTTTTTATATTAACCCAAAATAAACAGTATAACATATTTATCATATGGGTGTTATAGGGGAGACTGGTTCCAAAGTATACTAATTTTGAGATAGGATTCAAGAGAAAGAATCGTAAGTTGTCACTTAGTGCCGGACAATAAACATATTGATATTGTATGAGTGCTAACGGTGACTACATACCCCCATTGCTCGTATTTTCTAGTCAAAGAATGAAAATATTATGATGAATGCTCCAGCTGAGAGCATCGGTGTGGCCCAGCCAAAAAAAGGGTGGATAAATAGTGATTTTTTTTTGCAATATTTAAGAATATTCGTCAAAGACACATGTGCAAATATTCCAAAGTGTGAAGATGGCAACATATGTGATCAATGCAGGTTATTTTGAAATGTCCGGTACTAGGTGCCACAGTTTAAACTCATATTTTTTTATACCAAAGTTTAATTGATAGTACTAATTATTTTTTAGCAAATATTGCGGTTTTGTTAATTTAATTTGATTTCTAACTTTATTATATAACATAAATCATAATTTAATAAATATTTCGTAAAATATTTTGATTTTTTATAAATAACCTTAGGTGTCCGCCACTAGGAGACTTCCCCCTATTGAAACTTCAAATATATATAAAATACTGATCTCAAATTCTAAAAACAGGGGATTCAATACCAGAAAGAATGAAAAATAACAATAAATCTCACGCATTATCATGTCTACATAATAATAAAGTAATATTTTCTAGAGCATGCAATACGAACCATATAGCATGTTTAAATCATTTACTTTTTATAGAGCATGGATTGTTAAATGACTAACTATTTTTCTACCAGATAGTTAAATCGATTTTATATGTAAGTCTATTTCCGCTTTCTTAGAAAACCAAAATCATTAAATTTGATATCTATGCAAACCAGGAAAATAAAATTTGCGATTTTAGTAACAGAGTACTCGATTGTTTTTCTGGTTATTTTGCCAATTTTAGTTTTCGTCATAAAACAATTTTCACAATAATTTTCATGATTTAAATAGATAAATTAAGAAAAATTGAGACTTCATTTATTATTTACTTAATAATAATTATTATTAAATAAATAAAATAAAATAGGCAGCTTTGCAAACCAAAAAAGCTACACATGCTAAACAAAACAAAAATTGAGACTTCATTTATTATTTACTTAATAATAATTATTATTAAATAAATAAAATAAAATAGGCAGCTTTGCAAACCAAAAAAGCTACACATGCTATCTAGGCATGATTACTGCAATTGCTTTTCAATGAAGAATGCATTAGTTTAGAAGCAATTACCTTTACAGAAAAGTAATAAACTTTTTCGATTTTTAAAGATAACAATAAATGCAATAAATAATAGCCAAAAAGTGTAATCTATAATTTTTGTCTAAAGAAAAGGAGATAGTGATTGGAATTGGTTCCATTGACAAGCTAACAATGAAGCAAACAGATATGGTAACAGAGATTCACTAATATCGAAATTAAATAAATTAGATAATTAGTACTAAATTTATTCATCCTTATTTAATAAAAAAAATCAATCAAATAAAGAACCGAGCCACGATATCATATGAATATCATATGCATCAAGCGTCTAGTAGTTATATCTTACGACTCCGTGTAAGTATTTCTGCTTGCATGTTCGCCCGGCGAGTTTCAAGACAAATAATACTAGTACACCTATTTATATTTTGAAAAATTATTGGAAATGTAATATATATTCATAGAAAATTATATTTATTCGCAATGAAAAATCTAAATAAAACAAGATATATTTCATTACCACATAAATGGGTAGTTCTGCCCTATGGCAAATCTATGAGCTGAGTTAAACTCCAACTCGATTCAAGGAAGAATTACGATTACCACTTATGATCCCTCAAATCATTTTACGATAGTAGTAATATAATAATGTTATTTTTATATATTTTTTTATTATTTATTCATTGAGTTATTTTTTTCAGTTTCTAATCAATTTTGTAAATATAAGTGTCAACGTCGAACAAACAAATATGTAAATGTATGACATAGACTAAAGAGCTAATTCTCCATTAAAGGTAAAATAGACTGTAACATAGCGTTGTTATGGTAACGCTATGTTATGCTGCTTTCTTGGTAGTAAAAACTTTCAAACTGCTAGGTACTTTTTGTACAGTCAAGCGTTTTAGTTATAAAACCTGAGGGAGCTTCAATGAATCACGTAATCTATTTTATAAGGATTTTTAAACTCCCTCTTGGTGATATTCAAAATAAACCCTCGTCCCCACTCAACATGACGTGTATTTTCAGTTAGAGAAAATCTTGTAAACTTTTTGATTTTTTTGAAAATGTTTGGATTATTTGAAAAAAAATCAGACAAAAAATAAATACAGCCCAGTAAACACCGTGTGATTTGAGCGGCGGTAGCAACCTGAAATCCACAAGCTTGCCTTCAGCGATGTGACATGTATGTGGAATCTATGTGGATTTCAGATTGCTATTGCCGCTCTGTGTCGCTCGGTGTTTACTGGACGTGATATCTCACTAGATCCCTACCTCGTCCACGTGATATTTCGTGATTTTTTGTCAAAACCTAGAATACGCATGAACAATGTATACGCACTTATAACACATATATGAAGTTAGGTTTTATTTGTGAAACGCCTGATCGCACAGCAAATGTATATTGTCAGTTGTGTAACTGTCAGTATATATTTTGACAGTTTTTAGTGCCAAGAAAGCAGCGTAACATAGCGTTGCCATAATAACGCTAACGCTATGTTAGGGTATATTCTAGCGGAGAATTAGACCCTCAATATGTTTTACCACAATCTCAGAATATTGTTAGGAAGTTATATAAATACACTCACACATTATTTCTTTATATATATATATATATATATATATATATATATTATATATAATGTGTGCTTTTGAAATAAAAAAATATAAAATTCCTACCTTCCATAACATAAACGATGCTGCCGACATCTCCTTCCTTGATGATGACACTTCCAGCTTCATAAGTGACAGGGTACATGCAATCCACCAGCTCCCGAATTTGGGTCATTTCCAAATTCTTCATGAAGTCATTGTCCAATATAGCAGACTTGATGATATCGCGAGATCTGGAAGAAAAATGGAACAAATCAAATATCATATCAGAGCAGTTAATTAGACAAATTCAAGTAGATTAGACCAATTAGGGAATATTCTTGGGTGATTTATGAAGTGCAAGGACATAATTTATTATTCATTAATAGCCGATTGGCGTAAAATAAATAAATAAATAAATAAATAAAACTACAAAAGTTTATTTTGTAGATTCAGCTATATATTACTAAAGCCAAAGGGTAAATTTTAGACATCTTCAATAATATATTGGTGGTTCAAATGTTTCTAGTTTTGAAGCAAGGAATTTACAAATTTAGACCCTTAGTATAAATCATATAATGAATGAGGGTATTATAAGGTCAATATAATAATTAATTATTGCTAGTAAAAAAAAGAATGAGAAAAAAACAACTTAAGTAAGGCTGTTCGGCTATTATCAAGTACTAAATGAACATTCTAGTAATTCAATTTAAGTAAAAAAGTATTATCTGAATTATGTAGTCTCAATTCAAACTGTTAATACATATTTTTTTTATCAAAATGACATTATCAATTTTTGGAGAGATTCTTCATAAAAATCTATTATGATCAAATTCACAATTACAATTTCTACATTTTATTTTAAATTAAATATATATATATATATATACATTTTAATATTAATTAAAAATATTAATTAATATGAATAAAGTGTAGATATTGTAGGTGTTAATAATAATTTTATATGGAAAATCTCTCCATAAATTGTTTTTATTGCATCAAAATTTGAAATTCATCACAACATAGATGAGTGATTAATTATTTTCATTGTTACTATTTTGGTCGCTGATGGTAGTTAATAAATAATAACTATTTCATTATTTTCTTAATTTACTTTTAACTTAATTATATATTTAATTAAGCTAATGTTAGAAGCTCCATGACTTTTCAAAACTGTATTTATGTAACTCCCATTTTAAGAAATGAAATAACATTAACAAATGCTAATTTCTTCGAATGCAAAGTAATACATGTCGACTCCATACAATATTTTTACTTATGAAATGAAAACATAAGCAGAATATATTTCTGAAAACATTCAACACCTGGTCATAAACTCGGAGTGCTAATAGTATATCAAATACAAGACAAATTTTACAACAGAATTTACATAAATAATATTGAACTATACTTAAAAGCTATTGGAAAAGTAGTCAAACGGAATTTTTTACTCAGAATATGATCGTTTTACTATATATTTGTCAACTTGAGTAATGGAAGATTTAAGGAAAATAACAACCGATACACAAAATTTAAGGCATTTTATTTTGTCGATTGAAGGCCTGAGCTATATTGCATATAATAATTATACTACATAGAAATGGGCATAGTAACCAACTTATATGAAATTCAAAATGTTCATCCAATAGTAATTATAAGTTCCTAGTGGATAATGCTTAATTATAAATCAACAAAATATCTCACTTTGTATTTATTTAATTATCACGATAAATTAACTCGAATAATCTCTTTTATGTGATAAAAATGTGTGAGGTTTTTGTTCAAAACATTAGAATAAATCGTCTCAAAGAGAAGAAACTATAGTAAAGTGTCTAACCTTTAACTCGTCTTTCTTGATTTTCAAGAAAATAATATGCTAATCAAGAAAGAAAAAGAGAAAGTTATACTCTAATTTTCGATATATCATTACTTTAATAGAAAAAAATAAAAAAATTTATAAAATGCAAAAAAAATTAATACAATAAACCATACATAAGATATCTAGGTTCTATTTCCAAATGTAGCCGGAGAAAATCAGGAAATATTTGAATACTTGTCTATTAAATTTTATACCAATGCTATTTTGTTCATACTTTAAGACACTATTTTAAAAGTTTGTATTAGGAGTAAAAATTCCTTGAGCCAAAATAATTTCGTATATTGTTTTATGCATTGATTCTATTGCAATTTTTGCTATCATAGAATGTAATATAATTATACATGTGGTACGCCAATATTGCTTATTTAGGATGTATTTTTTTAAAGAATTTAAAACACACGGACACATTTAATAAGACATATGTCAATTTATCCACTTACTCTGCACTTTTGGGTATTCTAACAATAGTCTTCCATTTGATGCTTTCACTAATAGGCTCGGCACTAATAGCCTGCCTTTTTATACGTCCTGATGCCTCAATATGCACCCCTGGCCTATGATCCAAATTCCTCTCAGCATTCTGTATTTCAGTAATGGTATTACCCAAACTGGTGACCGAAATATCTTTATCCTCCGGCTGCAGAGCCTCCTGCAACTGCTGAAGAACACAAGCTCCTGAAGGATGAACCGCCTTAACTCCTCGACGTTCCAAAGTTGCTTCGGTAAGTCGTTTAACAACTTGGCGAAATTTATCAATTTCATTTCTAAGATGGATTATTTCAGAATCTTTTTTGGCCAAGGTGTTTTGGAGTTCACAGACTTTACTGGCTAATTCATCTCTGGTGGCGGTTTTGAGATCCAAAACTTTGCTGGACTCGCACACTGGTGCTTTATTTGTTCCGTTTTTTGTTGGCACCACATTGGGAGCTGGATAGTTGTTGGAAGACATTTTTTGAGTATTATCTTTGAAGCACAGTTTTTGTTTTATAAATTTTATCACGTTTGTATTCATTCAAGAGTAGAAATAATAGAGTATTTTAAAACGATAAGTCCCAAATGATATTTGCATAGTTTCAATATATGTGCAAGCACAAGATTAAATGACTTATAACATTATATTGTAGATTAGGATAATCAGGCTGAAATGTATATTTATTTTTAAACTTGATTTTTTAATATTTTTCGAATTTTTGAGAAGTCTCATTGCAAATATTATCATTTTATTCACCATGTACAAGATTCAAAAAAACACTAAATTAAATCTTTTCAAGAGAAGCTAATTATGTCAAAAAATCCAATCACCTAATTTTATGTTGTCTTTATGATTCCTCTTTAACCAAAATTAGTACAAATATATTTGGTTTTGTGTATGTATATAAATAAACCCTTGCTAAAATGTTAAAATAATAGTTGCGAAAAAGTTATAGATAAAATTTAAAAAGTTGCTAAATTTCAATTCTTATTGATTAAGTCGAAGACTATGTGCTACTCACACATACTTTTTACACTTTACTCCAAATAAATTTACAAAGAGGTATTGTTGACCCAAAAACTTCTGATCATGTTTACTTTTCCTCTTTATAAATAAATTCAATAAATTTAACAAAATTATATAGTACATATCAATTTTTCAAAACAAATCTTCCAAAAAGACTCTATTATAGTATAGTGCACATGATCAGAAGTTTTTGGGTCAACAATATCTCTTTGTAAATTTATTTTGAGTAAAGTGTAAAAGCAGGTGTGAGTAAGACTTTGCCTTCGACTTAACCAATAAAAATTGAAACTTAGCTACTTTTTAATTTGTATCCATAAATTTTTTACTTTTATTTTAGAAATTTAGCAACGGTTTACTTATATATAAACAAACATGAACATAAATTTACCAATTTATAGGATTTTCTGACTAATTTTTGCTCCTATGAAAATTGGTGATGCAATTAAGTATAAATCTTAAACTATTTTCTAAAAAATACAAGAAGGCTGTGGTATCCAAAATTTGATTACACGCCATTTATAAGGGATGTCAGATCATCAAATTTGAACATTAAAAACGATAATTGCTATAGCATCCACGCCAAGTTCTTATATAAAACAATAAAATGTTTAGTACCATTTTATATGAAAAAAGCAGCTAACATAGACTTTTGGACTATTGGTCTATTTCACGGCAGAATGTAATGGGATACTACATTGCATTTTTTATGAAGAACTAAAGAAATGGAATATTTTTTCTATTCTAGGAATGTATTACCAGTGTACTAATGACACAAACTCCAGTGAATTTATCTCAAATAAAAACTCAAAATCAAACATCAACAAACCGAATCTGCGTCTTGGTGAATTTTATTATAGACAAAAAGTTCCCAAAGAAATCTATTTCAGTTATCGCCTCAACATCCGCATATTAAAAGGCGAGTGTTTAAGATAAATAAACGATAAAATCATATTTATATACACAGACTGTATCTAGTTTATGCATGTTCATTCCAGTACGCAAAAAATAGTGAGGAATTGTCTCAAGGCTACGAATAATGTACTTGCATAGAAACAATTATGAAATCGTTTGATATTAACATCTTTAGTTAATTGATCTATGTGTTGCTTGTTATATCACATATAAAAAGGTTTTCTTTGGCGATTTTATAAAAAAACTCATTAACCTTTCTTTCATTTAAACAAAAATTATGTAAGCTTAGTCAAATGAAAGAACTAATCATCACGTTTTAGTGATGATGGATTGAGAGATGGATACAGATTTATTTACGTCAGTATTAGCTCTTCATAATCCGTTTGAATCAATATGAATTTTATAGTAATTGCATAGCAATTTGTATTATATTTGAGTTCATTCAAAGACACTGAATGGAAATTGTTGAAAAATTATTAATAAATCAATATTTTAAGTCAAGTGCTTCTAGACCAATTTAATTAATTATTTGTCCTTTTCAAAACTATGACATCAATAATGCATCCTCCTTTACATACTCATAACCCAAGTATTTATAATCAACTATGTATAAGGTGAAGAGGAGCTTAAAGGACCGCAGGTAAAAAGCTCCACTACCAATATCTTAAAAATCAGTAAAGTTAATTTTTTTAACAACAATATTTGAAAGTAGAAGGTAAAAGATGTATGAACAACTATCACCTTGATTCTTACAATGATGCTATCAGGGGATAAACGACAATGTTTGAAAACCAATAACAAAAGTATTTTCTTTCGTTGATTTTATTGGTTGTAAGCACTCTTGTTTAGTTTACGATACTTTGATATAATTTTCAAGTATACGTTATTTCATTGTTTTATAAGATGTTTTGTTAATTTTTATTACAACACTTCTATAAAAGCTTACACCTGAATGGAGTACAAAG